TCTTCCTCCGATTGCCCTTGAAACCAATCCTCAAATTCAAAACCGTCTCAAAACAATGGAAATCAATTCTGGAATCGAGGAGTTTCATAGATATGTGTATGAGTCTTCAAAAGAACCACCAGAAAATCATGGCTGCGTACAACTGCAACTGTGACGGCCGACCGAGACTCCTCCTCCCCGAGTCGCGGTCCGAAGGAGACGAAGAGATCGTTTTTCTTCACTGCAACGACGCGCAACAAGCCTCGATGATGACTTGCGACGGTTTGCTCTGCTTCACCGAACGAGATCGTGTCATCGTCTTAAATCCATCCACCGGACAACTCCAGCGATTCCGCTTCGGCCCAAATCCAGTGGCCTCCAAAAGTAAAAAATCAAAACTTTCATGTGTCATGGGATTCGGTAGAGACAAAGTTAGTGGGAGCTATAAAGTAGTGAGGATGTTCTTTAATTCTAGCTTCCATTGCGAGATTCTTGATGTCAACATTGGTGAATGGAGGAAACTGAGTCCACCTCCTTACGAGGTCGACGTGGGAACGGAGTCAGTGTGTGTGAACGGGTCAATCTACTGGTTAAGACTTGGGCCGTATTTCAATATACTAGCCTTGAATCTTCACACACTAGAGTTTCACGACGTATCGCTTCCAGATACGTGTTTCACGTTTGAATCCCATCTAGTGAACCTTGAGGACCGTCTAGTCTTAGCCAAATCGAAAACTTGGGGTGGATGGGAACTAATCATATGGATCATGGATGCAGAAGAAGAAATATGGAGCAGCATGTACTCCATAAGTTTAGCCGACCTAACTGGTAACCCATGGGAGACAACTTGGTTCAGGCTGGTGACAGTTTCTAAGTTAGGGGATGTTGTCTTCAGTGACAATCACAAGAGATTGTACAAATATTACCAAGAAACAGCTGAGATTCGTTGTCTCTCCTCAGATATTTGTGTTATATCTCCTTACCTCGAGAATTTGGTCCCGATTCGGTCAGAGTCAGGACGACGTGATTTGTACCCGTATATCAGGACATCTAGATGCAGATTTTTAGACAGCTGCGGGATATCCACATGGAACCCATCTAGGATCTTTGATATTGCATTTATCATACTAGTTGGGTGTGGGTGTAGCTTGATGTACAAAATAATGGGATAAATGGTGGAATGGTTAAACCTGCCTAATCTCACTATCAATCAATTACGCTGAAAAAACAATAAATATATTTTTTTTTTTTTGTTGACATATCCCCTACCATATATAGCTTTAGTGTTGATGAACGGGTGGGAGAAGTGGGATCGAGAGACTTATCTTTTTCTTATCAATTTTCATGACTGTTTTAGATTCTGTTTAGCTTTTCTATTATGAATTACTTCAAAAAACAAAAAATTATTCAAATCACCGATTATCTTTTTGATGTTTTTAATTTACCGTAGTTATAATGATTTTAAATTAAAATGAATTCACTTAAAACATCTCATTTTAATTTAATTTTGATTTATCTATTTAAAAAATAACTGACAAACAATGATATTGATTGATGT